AAACCGTGCACTCACCCGTCTCATGTCCCTACTTCATCGAAATTATAGTCGCTGCGTTTTATAAAGCCTTTCAACTTTTACTCACTATCCTCATACTAAATACACCTGTTTGTACTTCGTTCTATAAATGACACAAACCCCGTACTCAACTGTTCTACAGTGTATTTGTAATTTTTAAAGCCACAAAGGTTTTAAAAAAAAACGAGCAGTACGTTAGGTAATTCGATGTAAAGTGATATAGTGTATATATGCTTAAATCAAATCATCTTAGTAAAACGCATTTGTATGTGACGCGTTGTCGCATATCCAAGATCTTTCATCTTTGAAAACTGCACTGTTGCAGTCCGTCATTTACCAGAAACAAGTTAAATATCTCCTAATACCTGAGAATGCTTAAATGTAAGAACGACTCTCCGTTGTGCACAGTTATTACCAACACAACGAAAAGCTTTTAATCATTTAAACGCTTTACAACGCTTTTTTTTTTTTGGATGTATAAATATCTGCTCTTCGGTGACAGATTTGCACTTTCCAAGCAATAAACCTTTCCCGTTTGATGTTTCCCCAACAGCGGTGAGCTACTGACTGCGTCGCCTAAGAAAATGCTGTTTTTTTTAAAATGCTATAAATGCTATCTTGCTATTGACACGTTTGTGAACACAAAGCCACGAAACGAAATTTTGCGCAGGGCAAAATGACTCACAGTCCACCCGTGGACATCACTACCGGAAGGGATGTCACGCCGAATTAGTCAGCAGAGCAGAAAAGACTCCCGGCACAACAGTGTGATTAATTGGCCTTCTAATGTTACTTATTTCTGCCAATTTGACTTTTACAAACTTAAGAGCCGTTATTGACACCCCGGGACAGGCGAGAAGGAACCGCGCAGGGTCCTCTCGATTATTGACAACGAGCCGCGGGGTTATTTACATGGGATCGTTATAGAACTGAATAATAACCGCCTGTTAACGGACAGTTGGGCAACAGAGGAGGGAATTTCCTTTTCTTGCACAAGAAATAAAAAACACATTTGGGAAAACCAGGTATCAAAGCCTAGGGGGTGATATATATACATAAACGGGAACAAAGAATGAGAACCCGTGTCTTGTGCTTGTTACACCTCCCTGTGATAATAAATAAAAGCCTACAATGTCCTCCACACAAGGTTCACCAAGTTCTTTCCACTTATTTGTACCGGAGCCTAGAGCAGGTAGGTTATCTCAGCCCCCTACCCAAAACCTCCATCTTTAGGATAGCAGGCCAGCGAGTATGGCAGGCCGTCCCTTAATGGAGCCCTCCTACTGACCAGACACATCGACCACTATCGACGCGTCTCCTCGACCGCAAACCCAGCAAAAAGCTTAGAAAGATAACGTACCTATTTGTAAAAGTCTCAAGCAAATGTCAGCTACAACCATCACATTGCCCTGTTCTGGAAAGCAGAAAATAAAATAAACAGAATGACTTGGCGCATTAACATTGAAAGAATGGCACAGCGGTTCCCAGCCCTGGGCCTGTGTCTCCTGTACTCATTGACGATGATTCAATAATCTGCTTGCTTGTTTAGACTTTCATTTTTGTTTTCTGGGTCAGTCCTGAGTGCCCTAGGAACTAGGAACTTGTGCCCTAGTTCTAGGATACTATTCCCAAAAACATGAAAACTCCAAACTTTATGCAGCATCTTCTCAATTGTGTTACTTTTATTTCTGACTAGGCAGCTCTTATTAGCTGTTCGTGTGATGAACACGGGTACAAATGACACACCGTGACACTGTCAGTGGGAGCGACACTGCATCAGACGCACCCACAGTGGGAGGGACACTGTCAGACACACCCACAGAAAGAGTGACAGTGACAGGCATACTCACACTGGGAGTGATGTTATTGGACACACCCACACTGTGGGAGTAACACTGTTGGACACACCCACACTGGGAGTGACACTCAGACACACCCACACTGGGAGTGACACTCTCAGACACACCCACGGAGGGAGTGACATTACTGGACACACCCATACTGGGAGTGACAAGCTCAGACACACCCACAGAGGGAGTGACATTACTGGACACACCCACAGAGGGAGTGACAATCTCAGACACACCCACAGTGAGTTTTTTTTCTTTCTGCAAAGGTCCAGTTGGTAACACTTCAGGCAGCACACCTGATTGAAGGCACTTCTGAAACTGGTTCAGGGTTGATACAGATTACACATTCACTCTAGCCTTTTAAGAGCTAAAAAGTTACAAATCTGCTGCCAACTTCCAAATTAGTCTGTTAGTAAATTAACTATGAAACATGCTAAGGGGGCCCTTGTTGTTTGTACCTGTTCTTAAAGCTCAAACAGTCCTGTAGCAGAGAAGCACAGCAAATTTATCTGTGATTTCTTTTAAATATACTGTTCTATAAATTTATTTTTAAAGTGATGTTAAAGACCTCCCAATAGTCACATGCTCAGCAAAGACATGCTGCACATTCCTCAAAACTAATTTTGTCTTGCTTTCCCGCAGATCAACCCTGTGATCAGTTACAAAGACAAAATGAAGAGACAAACTAGATACAATATCTGGAAAAAAACAAACAAGTGTTAAGTAGAGAAGTGTGTTCGTTACAGTGCTTCAACCCTGTTCAAATGCTCTAGTACAAAATCTTACCTTTCCATTCATCTTCCGCAGTGGTGCATGGAGTCACGCTTCCTTTTCTTAACCAGATTTATGAGCACAAAAATGGGCACAGTGATTTGTACCTTCAGACATCAAGGCTGTACTGAAGAACACAGAGGAATGTGACGGAAAACGGAAAAGCTGAATCACCGATGTAAGCGCTGAGTGCTCACAGAAGTGCTATACAAGTGGCAGATAAGCTCAGTGTGACCTTATTCTGTCATCCTCTGCAGCACAGACACGGGACCTCAGAGCAGAGCACAAACACAACCCGGACGAAGTTCTGCAGAGCATCGCTAAGGACCACAGATTTTTATTATTTTTTTTATCTCAAACACAACACATAAGTGTGAGCCGACAACAAAAACGGCAGTTTCCAGCAGACGACGGTCATGAAGGCTGCTCGATGATGAGTCTTTTCTATGGAGGCTGAAGCGACACCTAGTAAACATCTACCAAGTAAACAAAAGAAACAAAGACATGCTACACGGCTCTAACTTGTTTAATAAGTCTATACAACAGTTTGTCAGGACCTTTGACGGTACCTAATAAAATCGGTTATACGAAATGTAACTGCTGCTGTAGAATCCACAGGTGAGGTACCTCAAACGCAATGCAAACAGGAGCTTGCTTGCTTGCGTGGGTCTTCCAAGGTAGTAGAAAAAGAGCACAGCTCGAGACGCTCTCGCCCGGAGGCCCGTCAGTGGTGCGTCTCCAGCTCGACGATGGTCCACTCGCCCGGAGGCGAGGCTGCGTCCTCCGGGGAGAAGCTGGTGACGGTGATGCTGGTGGCGGAGTCGTCCAGCGGGGACATGAGCTCGGCCCACCGCTTGACCGAGTCCCTGTCCAGCGGCAGCCTGGCCGGGGTCTTCAGACAGTCGCGCGACAGCGCCAGCGTCTGGCTGATGAGGTACTGGGCGAGGTTCAGGTCCTCGGGCACCGAGTTTATGACGCCCCAGCTGGACTCCTGGTCGGAGAGCAGCTGTCTCAGGAGCGTCCAGTCCCTCTCTGCAAACCCGCTGCTTTCATCCTCCTCCTGCTCCTCTTCCTCGGGCTCCGCGAGGCACCTGTCCGCATCCAAGCTCTGCTCAAAGGCTGGCCCAGTGTCCATCTCGTAAATGGGAGAGAGGGATTTGGAAGGCCGGCGATCATAAGTGCAGGTTTGATCCAATCTGTCACAATCATCTAAAAATAATTGACAATACTATACAATGTAAAAAAAATCAATCTAGCCTTCTGGTTGTTTGTTTTTTTACAGAGTTCAGTGACAGATCTTTAGGTTTACCTTAAAGGCAACTGTATCCTCCCGTTTAAATGTTTTGGGGTGATTCAGATTTTAAACACTATGTTTAGGCAAGAATCCTAAACTAAATATTGTTCTAATTCTGTGAAATTTCATCATGTCAGTAAGCCAGCATCTCCCAGCTCTGCC